TCAATAATGACCAGAATTACTCATCAGATGAAATCTGATGAGACCCCCAATACTATGGCCCTGGATTACATTTTGCACCTGGAATAAAACTCACCCCCAGAGGCTGGCTCTCAGCCCAGTAGTTAACAAGATATACATGCAGATTTCTCAGCCCAGGAGGACGAACCCACATACTCTGTGGTAATATATCCCTTAGAGCAATAGACCACGGAGCACCAGAGGACCAACATTCAAGTTGAGGAAGTGCAGGACAAATGAGAGTGCATGAGTATGGGGGGCATAAGGGGAGGGTTGTAGGTTGGGGAGGGGAGGAGACGGGATTGGGGTTGGACATGGTGAATTGGTATTGAAACTAAATGTACACGTAACGTTGAATGTAACACAAGCTCTTAAAATAAAAAAAATAATAATAAAATGAAAAAAAACATAGATGTTTGGATTTATTTCTGGATTGTCAATTCTATTCCATTGGTCTGTGTTTCTACCATTAAACCAATACCAGGCTATTTGATTACTATAAGTGTGTAATATATTTTGAAGTCAGGAAGCATGAGGCCTCCTACTTTATTCTTCTTCAAAATTGCTTTGGATGTTTGGGATCTCTTTTCTCTCCATATCAAGTTGAGAATTAGTTTTGCCATTTCTGTAAATAATATTGTTGAAATTTTTATTGAGATTGAATTTTATCTGTAGATTGCTTTGAGTATCTATAACTTTTATAATATAGACCTATTATTTCCCTTTTCAGGCTAAAGAGGCAGTGGCAGAAGCTGAACGACATGATCCTACAAATATTTTCACTCTATTTTATATATTCAAGATGGCAGTATTAGAGGGAAACTCTGACAGAGGTATAAATGTTATATGTAATTCATCTCTGACCGTTAAAAAGTAGTTAATCCACTTTTAACCATAATGGGAAAAATGCACACTTCTAACACATTGGAATTGAATATCTATATTCTTCCCTTCCTGTATAAAGATAATACAACAATGCAAAAAAAAAAAAAAAAAAAAACTGGAAGTTTACATAAAAAGAACAGTGGTTACTGACTAAGGGAGTAGGAACTGGGGAGATACGAGACTGGAATTGGGGAAAAAAATTCTCACTGTATACTGTTTTATATTTTCTATCAGTTGGACCAACATACTCAAAATTAAGTTTAAAAAGTTGTGAGGGGATGTGGGAGATTTATATTACAAAGCCATGTTAGTTAAGAATAGCCTTCAGAGAATGGAGTTCCCCAGGGTACCTTGTGACAGTTTTCACTTAGTTGGTAGGTGGTTGGTCAAAGATTTGGCTTTGAAATGGAGTTTCTACCCACCAAATGGACAGTGTTGGAATTGTACACATGACCCTCATCTCACCAGTGCTGTGTCCTATCTATCAGTGAAGCCTGCTCCCTAGCTAGTGTGTTTGCACATATACATGTATCTTGAATTGGTTACAGGTATTCTATGCTGAGATACTAATCTACTCAGGATAGCTAAGCAAATCCAGGAGCAGGCTGAGGCACAGATCTGTTGCCCTTTGGGAGACAATTTGAGAAACATGAATTAATAAAATTAAACAGAATTTATACTAATCTAAGCAACTATTTGAAGGAGCTCTGGTGACACAGTGGTTAATTCAGCTGCAAACCAAAAGTGGCTCCACAAAAGAAAGATGTGACAATCTGCTTATTTACAACCTTAGAAACCTTATGAGGCAGTTCTACTCTGTCCTCTAGTAACCCTAAGAGTCAAAATTGGCTCCACAGTGATGGATAAGCAAGTATTTATGTGCAAGGGATTGAGCTATGTACTCCAAAAGAATAATGGGATAATTTATTCTGCATTGAAAAGGAAGTGTTCTAGGATAGTAAAGTATACCTGTAAAATAATTACAGAGTAGTAAATTGGAGTCAGCTTTGTATCAACATTAATGTTGTTAACATGTCCATCAACAGTGTTTTCACTAGAAATTTCTGAGCATTTGCTTTACTTGATATAATATATTGAAGAATAAAAAGGGCTTGGTATTCCCAGAAATAGCCCAAAAGTATTGATTCCTCATTAAAGTATTTTTGAAATTGAATTTTTTAAAAAAATTTTATTGTGATTTGGGTGAATAAGCAAATTCACTTTCCATAGAGCAGCTCACATACAATTTGTCTCATGGCATTGTCATTAAACTATTTTTAAAGCATTCTATCAAAATAATTGGGAGCTCTGGTAGCGTAGTGGCTAAGGCACTTGACTGCTAACCAGAAGGCTGGCGGTTCAAACCCACCAGCCACTCCCCGGAAGGAAGATGGGGCAATCTACTTCTGTAGTGATACTGCCCTGGAAACCCAAGGAGGGGTCGCTATGGGTCGGGTCTGACTCAACGGCACATAACAACAACAACAACAATCAAAATAATTGGAGGAGTCAACCACAGGGACCCAGGTGAGGAGAGGGAACCCAGGCCACACCACACAAGCAGCGAGGCAGAAAGCAGGGAGAGGAAAGAAAAGGCAAAAGGGACCGGAACAGATCGAGGTGTCAGCCGCAGGGACCCAGGTAAGGATGGTTGTAGAGGTCTAACAGCTAAGGGAGAAAAACTTGTTTGTAGGTTTGTCCTACTGTGGTGACATGTTTCTGTGAGTCTTGAGGCTGTGCCACTGGTGTTTCAAACCCAGAGGGATGAAAATGGTGCACAGGTATCAGCCAGGCTTGCAGACTGAGACAGACTAGGAAGAAGGAGGAGGCCATCCACTTCTCAAAGAATTAGCCAGGGAAAACGTTATGAATAGCAGAGAAACACTGTCTTGATACATTACTGTGCAACTTTATGAATAGTCCAGAAACATTGCCCAATATAGAGGAGGAAGATGAGTCACATAGTTTAGAAAGCTCTTAAAGTAGGACTGGGCAAGAGATGCATTATCAGAGTAAAATCAGCCTTACTCAGATGGATAAGGTAAAGCATTTGAGACCTCCATTTGCTGATGTGGCACCACTCAAATTGGGGAGAAACAGCAGCAAACATCCATTAATAATTGGAACATAGAATGTACGAATTACAGATCTAGGAAAATTGGAGGTTGTCAAAAATGAAATGGAATGCATAAAGATTGATATCCTAGGCATTAGTGAGCTGAAATAGACTGGTTTTGACCATTTTGAATCAGACTTCCATATGATCTACTATGGCGGGAATGACAGTTTAAA